GCCCAAAACCAGAAAAATAGACAAAACAAAACCAGAAAAATAGACAAAAAAAATACGGTACCCTATCGTTGGTGTTGCAAGTGTCAGTCAGCCTGCTGCCAGTGGAATGTGTGATAGGTGGACTTCCGAAGACATGCGCAAGATGCACATTCGCGGGATTTTTCAAGCTTTCCGAGCCCTGAACCAAAGGCTGCGGCTGAGGGCCTGGTGCCGACCTTTCACCGTCACCAGGTCCAACACGCGAAGATGGAACTTCTCGCGCACTCCTCACAGGGGGCGCAGCAGGTTGGATACAGACCGAGAGACGGCTCAGCTTCTCTTACACGTGGTTACTCGACAATCTCATATTCCCACTGGGCGCTAGCATTCAACATTCGAAAGCGGGAAGCCTCGCACTCCTAAGTCCTTCGGGCGAAACCACGCAGTTGAGACTGGTGTATCTGACGAGAAAGGATGCACGCGTGCCCACCTTCCCCCCTCAAACTCAGACACAAAGCTCCTGGTGCACTGGCGGCCTCCTCCTGCTCGCGTCGTCACTGAGGGATTGGCAACTGGAGGGCCCGCTAGGTGCTGGGAGTTTACGATTCGCGAAGATTCGCCCATCTTGCTGAGCAAGAATCTGCTAGCATGAGCAACTGTGGCTGTTCCGCAACTATCGCGGATGACTGTGGTCGCTGTGCGAGCGCAGGCTGCCCAGGTAAACGCAGGTATGCAATCTGATCACTGAGCAACCCATCTCTTGCCTCGATGATGATGCCCACACCGTAAAACTTGCCTGGCTTCCAGTCACTCTAGAGGGAGTTCATCGAGCTTGAGCTCCCTTAGTAGTTAGCGTGAAACTTTGGTTTTGCGGCTGTTTCGGCCCCAAGGGTCCGAAAAGGTGATGATCTAAAGCGCAGAAAAGTAAAGCAGGCTGCTACCACGTGCTGGTGTTCAATCGAACGGGGTTCTCTTGAATTTGTTGTGTAAGCGACTGTGGACACCAATAATTGGGGACCAACAACAGCTCAAATGCTTGCTGACGACGCCCAGCCCAAAGGGGCTACAAGGCGCTTCGCACGAGATCGGAAGAGCACCATACAAAAACGCGAAAAGATGCTCGCTTGAAGCTATTGACGGAAACATCCTTCATGCAAAGGCACAGAGTCCTTCCAAGCGGGAAGCCAAATTAACGCTGTCTCCCACGAGACCGTACCTCAGTCAGCATCTGTTTGCAGGTGCTCTTGTGCAGGTGCAGCAAAGCTGTGGGATCTTGAAGCAACACGTAAAAGTGCAAGCCCTTCCGACTGATGGCCGGCGGATTTAACTTGAAAAGCTACCCGTAGTGAAAGGTAACAGTAGGTCTATGAGCACAGACGGAGCCCGCTTTTCCCGGCCTGACGACAAGCTAGTTCGGTGAAGACTGCAGCAAGAGAAAACGACGCTTCTTGGTCGTAATTCGTTTGGCCATGACACTTCATGCGCTGTGAGCTGCCAATGTTCCCTGCCAGCACCTAAGTCTTCGCTGCCCAAACAGAAGCAGTGTTTGGTTGCGACAGCAAGCTTTCATCTCCAGACCTGGCTGTTGAAAGAGGTACGCCGAGGCGCAGTACCCCGGACCAGGCCCATGCGAACTCGAACCTCAGGGCTGAGATGCAAGCTCGAGCAGAACAACGAGGACTCGGAGAAAAAGGGAATGGCTTAGCCGATGCTATCCCGTAGCATTGACGCAGACGCGCACAAGTGTGAGCACTGCAAACGCACCTGCCTCTGGAAGTCCTTCATTCGTCCACTTCTCTCGAAGCTCAGATACTCGGTCCTGGCACTGAAGACTCCAAACCTTGCTAGGGTCTTAGACAACAGCTGCCACATCCACCTGATGATGGCAAGGGGGGAAGAAAGAGAGAGAGAGAGAGCCACACACACACACACAACTTGCCCCGCCATTCGACCCATTGCTCTGGACATCTGGTGGAATAAATGGCTACAGGACGACAACCGACAACCTGCAACACCTGAGACCAATTTTTGTTTCTTTGTTTTCCAGGCGAGAAGACCTCGTCCAGCACAACAGGTGATCCCTTTCTACGACGTGCAGGTTGGGGATATGGCGAAACAGTGATGTAAGAGGATGTGAACCCAAGCTTCTCTGCAATGACGTTCATCATGTAATTCACTATCAGTGTCTGGTCTATTTCTATACCCGATGCTGATGGTGATGGCAGCATGCCATGGACGCAAGCAGTCTCCCTTCATATCCCAGCACAGCTTACTTTTGGGGAAAATTCTTGGCCCTGCAGAGGTTCACACTGTATCACCAATTTTATCAGGGCAAAGAAAAACGTGTTACTTGGCCATGTTAGCATGAAACCTAGTCCGCACTGCCCAACATGAATATAGCCAGAATGCTCTTAGGTCTTAGGTGTTGACGTACGGGTTGTCGGACAGATGAGGTCGTACTGACCCAAGCTTCTTTGGTCCGCGAATTTATGTCTGGGATTTAGCACCAACCCAAACAGCTTTAGGCTCCTGATCGAAGTCTAGCGAAAAGAAGCCAAAACCTGCGGGCTGTGCACGGCCTGCTGGTCCAAAGCTGCTGAGAGAGCGAGCTCGGTATGTTTGGGCCCAAGGTCGATGGGAGCCTTTGGTGTAGCACAAAGCTCTTCAGATCCAATATGATTGGACAAGAACTGTGGGAATCGGACTATATGATGCAAGCATGACTGCCATGTTGCCTTGCCTCTTTAGACGTGTAGCAGGTTAAGGCATGACCTGGGGTCATCTCCAGAAAGGCCGACAGCCCTTCAAGTTGATAGCACTCTTGCGTGTTGGGATGCCACTGCACTTGTGGGTCGCAGCTCTGTGGACCTGGATTAAGCATGTGTCATGTGTCTTTCATCATGTTATTGCGCTCGTCTTGCTTGTGTTGGCCATGCGCTGGGTGTAAAGACGCGGAGCCCCGAACAAGAAAGACTGCTGCGTGGCAAGAACTTATTGCGCCACTTGCAGTGGGCAGCTCTAGGCCTCGTAGGCAAACCCGAGACTCGACTGCTTGCTGGCCTAGTGTTGCAGCGCCTTTAAGATAGGTCCGCCTGCTGCAAGGGGCATTCCACCAGGCCATGATGGCATCACCGATGAACTCGCCGACTACCCCCCTCTTGCTCATGATGATCCTGAAGAGGATCGTGCTATCGCAGGCAAGCATGACCGTTGCCACTCGAAAACCCAGGTAGCTGCAGCATGGGTTGTGGCTGGGCTGTCGTGTGTTGGGCCACCCAGCTACCCAGACCCCGATGCATTGGGGCTAGAGCGGTCGGGAGCTACCTCCAAAAAAGAGCCCAACAAGTCCCTGGGTTTGTACCAGTCCCAACACCCTCAAATTGCGCTGCTGCCCAAGATCTTGCTCATCTCGTCAAGGTAATCGCTCCTTATCCAGGCAAGAAGGCTGTCTGGGATGCTTGCACAAGAACGCAAGATTATGAGGGTCTGGAAAGAAGCTGCCGAAGTCATGGTGACAACCTGTTACCTTCGTGGAGCGTCGCGCAAAGACTGTAATCGAAGCAGCGACGGTCTTCAACGAGGCCTATCCGGTGTTGCCGAGGCTCAGCATGCTCATGAACGTCTCGGGGTCCAAGCTCTCGGCAATGGTGGTAAAGTTGGCGATATCACCTCGTCATCAGCTCGTGGTCTTGCAGGCTTGGCAGGTGCGTGGCTGAAGCAGCTATGACGACATACCGTCACCCTAGTAGAATCTGCCCCAAAACAAAAAACACCGTCGGCCATCCGAGGCCCTCCAAGTTCCAGCTCCGAGGAGCTGAAGAAGATGGTCACTGGCGCCTTTCCCATCCCCAGCTGGGCCTGGCGCTTGCCTGAACTCGACAAGAGCTTGGGAGACTGAGGGCCTCAGGGGATTCACTTGGGAGCCACCCACTCAGCTATGCCAAAGCAATAACTGGAAGATTCTGAGTTCAGAGATTGACAAGCATCATGGAGCTCATGCTTGCAACCCTTACCATGACCGTTCCTGGGATGCCTGAGACTACTATTGAAAGGCGACACGGTATGGCTGCCTAGCTATTGGTGCTGGAACGCGTGCAACCTGTACTGGAGATGGAAGGCATGGAGGAAACAACAAAGCCTTCAGATCTCCGCAGAAAAGTCAGCACTCTCTCCATCTAGATGAGACTGGGCCAAGCTGCTCTGAACGACGATGCGCATGATTTCCGGGTCCATGTAGCGAGCAAAAGACTTCAGGCCAGCAACCATGTACACGAAGGACTCCCTCATGTGCACCTTACAGGTCTTGCTGCAGCTGCCACGGATACAAGCGATACCTTGGCATAGAACCCCGGGCAGCTAGCAAATAGCAACAGGTGCGAGCTGGTGAGCAAACTTCAATCGAACGCTGCCTGCCACGCTGAGGCCTAGAAGTAGAATGCCGGCTTGAACACACCAGCCCAGCTGGTTGAACTGCGATGCCCTCACTTCATCTACGAACTTGCAATTCGCCCCAGTTTCTCAAAATTGGAGGGTGAACCAGCCCGGTAGTACGCCGGCTTGAGCGAGATGGAGGGATATCAAACACAGTCTTCCCCATCCCTTTACTCCCACCGGCCAGAATGCTGTCATCAGCAGAACAAGCTGTTATGTTACTGTTGCCTGCGCACAGTAGATGCTACTTGCGTGGAACCGTCGGAGTTGGCAAAAGACTCCGAAATGCTGCAGTCTGCAGTGAGCATTAAAAAAAAATCGCCCATCAATCAGCATTTGGGCAAGCAGCCACTTCACGTGGTGCGACGTGCATCAGCATCCGAGAAAGACGACCGGTCTCCCCCTCCTCCACATCGATATCCTCCTCGTCCTGCCGGCAAGCTTCTGCTGGTGTCAGGCATTCGGGCACGAATTAGAATCTTCACGGTCAACGGGCTGCGTGAACCCACTGCCTGTCAGCCTTGTCGGTGCAAACCGCCCCGAACTATACAGACCATGTCGCTGCTCGTTCAAACGCCCGATACCGTTATATTCATACTCGGACGTCGGCCCACCGAAAAGCCACACTAATGCCATGCCTCGGAGCCGGAGCTGTCGTCCTCACTCGCGCCTGAGCCAGGGTGGCTCCGGTCGCTGCGGTTGCGGCCTCACACCCATGCGAGCCGGTGTTGTCCGTTGCCCTCAAGACTAAGGACCTGCAGTATACCGCGGTTCTACAGAAAAGGTTCTGCGCGTGAATGCGCTTCTGGAAAGACTTGCTTGTAAAGGCTCGCGATGATACTTCAGGAGGCCCCTAAACTATCCTCCTGATGCCGGCTGATCTCAAAGGCCAGAAAGATCCAAGGCACTGAAGAAGCTTCGGAAGCTCGGAAAACGTGTTGAGGTCTGTCTGATGCTGCTCTTCCTGTGCCGAGGGTCCAGGTCCGGATGCCTCGTGTGATTTGTGCAGCTGAGACAGCAGCAAACGATTTCTATAATTCTGTAGCAGCTTCAGAGACACGGATAACAGGAAAGGCTTAAGCCATCTTTTGACCAAGAGAATGCTTGCTGGCGGAGCGTCGGGATATCCAAAGGGGCACCGGCGCGTTGCAGAAACTCCAGTTTGGCCATAGAGAGCATCTGCGCAATCGAGCATAGATGGAACTTGCGTACGGGAGCGATGCTTGCAAAAAGGGCCCGAAGCCGAAACAAACCGTACACTCTAAAGTGGAGGTCGCACTTCATCAGCTTCTATCAAGTGCACGGCGGCTTCTTCATAGTTGGGGCCAGAGCTGCATTTGGTACAGGGATGCTGCGAACTTCGTTCATGCGGCAAACGCATACCATGCAGAAAGATACGACACGATGCAAGAATCCGGGACGATAGGGGTGTATAGCTTGGGCCTCCAGTACTGACAGGGTTCGGGTCTTCCGTCCAGGTGGAGTTGGCGGTCAAAAGGTGCATCTCTGATTTTTGTCGTAGGGGCAGTAGCCCAGAGGGCGACCTGTGAACATAGATCCTAATCTATGCGAGGACTGTCAGGTCACCCAGGCCATGACTTCAGAGATCAGCGGCGAATGCTCTTAGCCAAATGCGACTGCTTACAATGCAGTGGCAACATGCAACATGCCAGCTGCCTCTATGGACATCTTATGCAGGGGCTTGCTCACTGCGAAACCTTGGATGACTTGGGTACTGCATCTTGGGGCAACCATGCTGTGACTCCGCACTGCACACAAAGGAGACGTCCCGAAAGCAGCTACTCGCCACCCTCGAACCATGCCCGACTGCCTTCTTGACCCGTCCACGCATTCTAATTAGACCCTCAGCCCAAGCAAATGGAGGCGACGCTGCCCAGTGGCCGATCGACATCATGATCACTGCGCCGACGAATGCGAAGAGGGAGCAGTACAGAATCGTGTGGACCCTGAGCTGATTGTTTTTGCTGCGTAAGGCTGGTCGAGGTCTCTGCAGCCAAGAAAGGCGTTCGTTGAACGACTTCTTGCTTTTAAACTTTAGAGCTTCAGCCTTCAATTCATCTTGACAAGGGCGCTGACCAGTGCGCAACAAACGATGGGGACACTTCAAAACTGTCGTCCGGTAGGACCTCGCTGGCTCAAAGGCAACTCGACGACCGTTACATCTGAGAGAAAAGGCAGCATTGTCGAGCTATGTGGGGAGGTTTGTACACAAGATAAGAACCCTCTGTTAGGCAGCCGTCGGGGAGTTGCGCAGAAGCACATCCAAGCAGCTCTTGCAGGTGAAGTTGATCAGCTATCTCCTGTCGCCGAACCTCTCAAATTTCTGGCTGTTTCCACTCGCACGCTCGACACAGCCAGGCAAGGGTACAGCGACGGGTCAGTTCCACTTCATCAAACGAACCGCTCGCCTCTGGGACTTTGAGTTCAGGGAGGGGCTTCAGAAGCAATCTCTCGTACCGCCTCCAATTATGGGCGAACGACTTGCGCCATAAAACTGATGCCACCCTATGCAGCACCAAGCAGGAAACAAGCAAAATGCACCTTCTGAAGCTTGCAACACCATTCTCTCGCAAGCCGCCTGGTTTCTCTTGGCAGCTCGCTGTTGCACCGCCCAGGCCTGCGTCTCCACTTGGATGACAAGGGCTTTGAAGGTTCCGGCCAAGACTAGCAAAAACACTCGTAAGCCAGGCAGTCTCTCCAACAAAACTGTTGTCCGTGGTGCGATTGAACAACGAAACTCTTACCCCTCAGCGTACAGTGTCCTTTCTTGCACTGTGCAGAACCTGATTTTGGGCACATGGAGTATCGGAGCCTTCAACAACTTTCTTGCAAGCTCTGCAGTCCGGCCGGCCATTTGCTTCTGTGACGTGTTTTCACTGTTTTCACTCTGAGAAGCTTATATCCAAAATGTATCTACATTACACTCTCGCAACTCGGACACAGCCAGACGAGGTCTCAGTTCAGACTACAAGGAGGGACTCATGATGCACTGGGCTGTGCAGTGCATCCAAGCCTTTAGTACATCCTTGCCTATGGCTTCCTGCCCTGGCAGACAATGGCCTGATCCAAGTACGCACTGGTCGGCCGCGAAATAATGACAAGCCATCTCCACTTGTCCTCCAAGCGAGGGCTCTTGCTTATCTTCCTCTCTCCTGAAAAGGAATACGGCGACGAGGACGAACGGAGCACGAAACACAAAGCTGCGAAGGCCGAAAGCATCACCACATCACGCCACGGAGCCTGAAAGAGTGTCGGCAGACTAGAGGTGTAGGTGAAGAGGTAGCGCCCGTCCACGGATGACATTGTGCCATGTTCCGGCCTGAGCTCTAGCGGGCAATCAAGTCGGGAACCTCAGCCTGGTGGGTTCGGGATCAGTTCTCTGTTGGGAAGCGGCTCGCCAGAGACTTCCCTAGGCACCTCATTCAACATCCCCTTCGTGCCCACAGAACCTTTCCAAAGCCGGAGGGCCCTCTAACAGACAGGTCGCAAATGTTTAAGCGATCCGTGGGACTTCAAGAGCGTTCCTGAGGGAACCAGCATGGCAGTGGGTTGTGCGGGTGGGCCGCGCCGGGCTCGCGGGTCTATTCCCTGCCAAAACATAGGTTTCTGCACAAGATGTTTCTACTTGTTCCTCCTCAGGTCAGGTTGTCTCGGGCATGCTGACTGCCATCGGACTTCTCGTGCTACCACCCGTCGCTGTCATCGCGGCGGGGCAAGTACTCTTTGGGGCCCAAAAGCCCGCGAGGCTGCCTGCCAACTACCTTTAACTTTCCACTGCGGAGATAGCGTCCGAGGGGTGACAGCAGGCCACTGCAATGCGGCAGCTGGCTCCAGTGATATCGAATCCGATTAGATGAACCTTCCAAGTTTGACACTGGCTGTGTGCCAAACAGGAATCCGTGTGAGACATGATCTCGAACTGACTCAAACTTATGTGATGCTGCTTGCTGCAACAGTTTTGGTCTGGCTTGTGATCCAACTAGGGTCACCTGATTCACAAGCCACCACGCCCACCTCTTCGATTTATAGACCGAACGTCAACATGGCTGATGAGGACTAGTGGTCGCGGCGCCAAGATAAGTTGAGGGCATGCAGTCGGTGGGGAGGACTCGGGAGGACGGTCAGGCTAGCAAACGGCGTGCACCTCCAAAAGCCTGTGCCAATCTTACGATCAACTTTCTGCGCAGCCGTCCATGTACATAACCCATTTACCGGGTTGCGGCAACTTCTTAGTCAAACATGCCTTGCTCCAGCTCACCACCTGAAGCTTGCATCCCGAGAGTCCGAGAGTTGGACAAGAAAGAGAACCTGTGCTTGTAACAAGAACAGCCTTCATCAACGTCCTTGTTCACCACCGCTTCGACACCGAGGGAGCTGGCTACCAGAAAGCCCTCGCGATCCAGAACGAAGCCCTCCTTCGTGGCCGGCTTCACAGGAACTGAAGCTTGGCTGGGTCTCTTAGCTCTCCCACCCTCCCGCATCATTTCTTCTGTGGAGAGTTCTCAGCTGATTAGCTATATTACCACCAGCTTCGAAGTGGCCCCCTTTTGTGTGAGCTGTTCGATTCGCTACATGTACTGCAGTGTATGAGTCCACGAGGTCCGGTCATATCGGGCAGGACTCGTCCGCTAAGATGAATATCAGGAAGGCTCTACTCGTAGAAGCGCGCAAGAGGAACTGTGCATTATGGTTGTAGCAGGCGCAAACGCAGCCCCGGTTCCCAGGCGACCTAGCCTACCGTATACTCGAAGTGTAGTCTCTCTCTCTCTCTGCCTTGCCATCCTCAAAGGTCTCACTACGCAAGGACACGTAACAGCGGGCCGGACAATCAGGAGGATTGGCATGCATATACCTATATTACAAATACATGTTTTAGCACTCGCACTCGAAGCTCAGGCAAGGTTTAGTGTGGAAAACAGACAACCAGAAGGCACTCATCACGAGCACCCTCGCTGAGCCAAACATATTACTGTAGTGCATATATATATATATACACGTATATACACGTACTCGTATATATATATATATGTGTATATACATATCCCTGATATTCTCTCTGATCTGTATGTTAAAGCCCAGTACTAACCGTGCTACTTAGGACCTGTGTGGTTGTGCATCCTTGCTGTCAGAAGCTCCGGCTTATGGCCGGGGTTTGCTGTTTCGGTCTGCTAACCACTGCTTTCAGGATATGCACCACAACTTCCAACTGATACCAGCATGCTCTGCATACTGAAATAGAAAAGGTTGACTCTGCATGAATTTACGTAGTGTAATGTATAAGGATGGAGGGGTGCAGTGCGATGTAATATGATGCAAATGGGTGTATTCATGCGTGTATGTATGGACGTACACATGCACGCACACACACACACACACACACACATATATATATATATATAGTATATAACTGGACGTACATATGTATGTATGCATGCAATGTCTCCATGTTTGCATGTATGTATCTAGTCATTAGTAGGTATGTGTCTATGTATGAATCACAGCGACCAGAAAAATGAGAACATGTACAACCATGACATAGCAGCAACAAACATACCAATTTCAATGACTATCATCACCACAGCAATCCGCAGCATATCTCCGACCGGTCGAGGTTCCTGCGCAGGCACAGTGCCCGTCACTTCTCGCAGAAATCTGCTCAGGAAGGACCTGAGATTGTCGCTTCAGGGTCGGGGGTAACCAGGCCTAGATAAAGACGGGCCAAGCGAAAAACACTGACAAGTTGAGGCTGAATTTCGTGGACAAGATGGCACGGTGAAGTCAGCTGAAACGACTGCCAAGACCTCGCCTTCGAACATGATGGCCTGCGAAGCCGCGATCTAGAGAGTTTCTAATCCGTCTAATCACAAGACGATGCATCCAGCTTTTGAGAAGTGCGACTTGTCGCTCGACCTGCTGTGTGTGTGTGTGCGCGTGCTTGAATCGACATGCCGGCTGGAACCCACAATGCTTTGCCACTCACATTGGCCAGTCACTTAACAAGAGCTGCAGCCGTCTGCTGTCGTTTGCACGGAGGAAACAGCAATCCACACCAAGTACAACCCTGAAACTGCCAGAGGCTTGCCTGGGAGCATGACATGCCCAGGGTGTGGCCGCTACTGTATAAGTAGATGTCAGTCCACGCTTGCCTGAGGCACCGAGGCTTCAACTCTAGGACACTCCAGAGGGCCTTTGGCCCATCCGAGTCTCTCTTGATACTACCGCATACAGCATGGGACTCAGCTCTCTGACGCAACAAGGCTGGATGACCCAAAGAGAAAACATTGATTGCCACCCCTTTCTTGAGCGTCCTGCACCTCCGATTTCGGGCACACCTACTAGCTAGCTTCATGTGAGTCAAGCCGCGGGCCTAAGACTCTAAGCTCATCTCGCTCTGACAGCCAGGAGGTGTGGCAAACGTGACAAAGATGTATGATGCCAGGGTTCTGAACAACTTCAGGCACCTGACAGAAGACACCACCTCCTCACCCTTAAAGCACACAGCGATCAATGGACCGTAAAGAGGAAGTATCACTGCCAGTACCTGTAACACCAAGACAGAAATTAGCACCAGCAGAACTCGGAGCACAATCACGAGTGTAAGGCTGCCGCCTAGACAAACGACTTTTGACAAATGCAGAACATGCTCGATGACGCCCAGAAGCTTGCCCTTGGCGTCAGCTCCAACTCTGTACCAGGGCCGGGTGCGCGGATCGTAGACCTTTCAATCTCTGCTCGTTTTGTTGCCACTGAGGAGCTCAGTTCACGAAGTTTATGCGTCGCCTTCACATCGCGTGGGCGGTCAGAACGCAAGTGCCAGTCTAGTGAGTAACCACAACTGTTACGACACACGGATGACTAGAAGCATGGTGGGCACGATGAGATGCTTCTATGCTGAAGGTTCGAAGGTAATGATGCGATGCGACGATCGCTGAGCAGCATGATCAATCGAACGTGGCAAAAGCCTCCATCTGGACCCATATGGCCATATGGCACTGCAATACTTTAGAAAAGGTGGTCAGTATTCTACGGCAGTGTAGCACTAGAAGTCAGACCGACTTGTAAGGACACAGCAATAAGCTTTCAAGACCAGCAAACTATCATTCCACGTGGACAGACAACTCACAAGCACAAAGCTCACATCATGTCTTGTGCTAGCCAAAGCAAGTGAATTGACTATATAGGTTACAGCAAAATCATCATGAAACAAATGGACGCACAGATCTGACATAGAGCCTAAAGCTAAACGCAACAGACGCATGTTTGTTACTTTTTGGCCAAAAATGTGGGCAATCTTAACGGCCTGTTCCTTCCCCCCTAAATCATACCTAGGAAGGAACCCCTGGCCGTGCTGACTGGGGTGGTGGTAGCAGGAAGCAGTTGCTGTTTGTTGCGTCTTGCTTTCTACGTGTTCATATATCATGCGGACAAGGAGTTTGTAGGAAGCGATTTAGCGGCCTAGCTGCTAACAGAAACATTAGGTGGTGGAAGATTGGGGAAGACTTCGTTCCTGCTTGCCAATGCCTACATGAAGTTGGCAGCCGACTAGAGGCACCACAAAGCTGCAGTGCTCTGAAACATTCCCCGGCGGCCTTGGTGTCGTACCGATTGCGAAATGCACCACTGGAGTCGTTAACGAAATAGTACGCCTTCTCGCCTGTCCATGGAGCACACCTACCAGCCCTGTGGCAACGACAATGCTTCAAAGACTCGCAACTCAAGCCGGGCGGAATTCCACCGCAAATTGAATAGCCTATGGTGGCATTGGGAGGCTCCCGTCTGAAGTTCTTCATGGAACGCGAAAGGCAACGAGCTGTTGCCTGGATACCGGAATCAATTCCCGAACACCTCCACACAAACCTTTTGGGAAAGCTCATACCAGGATTTCCTGCTTCGAATGCAAAACGAGTCTGTGGGTGCTGCTGGGGGCTCATGCGCCCCTCGGAAGCTTCCAGTGAAAATTTAAGAATCCCCACCGCAGTCCACAATGTAAAGTCCTCAGCCCCAATGTCAGGTCTCGATTCCTCCCTCAGCTCATGCACTTCTGAAGCAGCTGCTGTTCCCGGGGTTCATGGCACGCATGGAACAAGACAAGACTGGTTGGCAATACAGCTCGCCCATATTCCTTCTAGAATTACGGCATACAGCGCCCTGACACCCTCATCGGAAAAAAACCGGGGGGCCATCCTGGCGCCTTGGACGAGCGCCGAGGGCGGTGGGCATGTGGAACAGCTTTGTCGCGAGGTGCCGACCAGGTCAGATGGCCGAAACCTGGCGGGCAGGACTCTTCAGAGACTGCCCAGACCAGTAGTCTTATGAGCCCAAGATCACGCATGAGCTGAGCAAGCGCATAGCCACTTGGCCCATCAACTGTTGGCGCTGGGTGCACTGGACATATTCTCACCGGAAAGCACAAACCACAATGAAAGCCTGCCCTGACTAGGCCAAGCAGCTCACCGCCGAAAACACTTGAGCTTGGGTAATTTTCAGTGAAGTGCATGGGAAGCCGTTCGACTCCGATGAAGGTGCCAGTTCGGTCTCCGTAAGCCAAGTAATCCACGTAATGAAATCGGTGCGATATCCCGTCCATGTACAGCTGAATGATCTGATCCAGTCGGATCTCCATGGCAGAAGGAAATGCGCTGATCGCCTCCAGGTTCACGTCAGTTGCCAGACTGGGCCATTCCGTGAAGTCAGAGATGCTGGTGACAGCAAACAGTGCAGAAATATTTTGCATTTGGTGCATCATGTTATTCAAGATGTCCTGTCGTTGTCATGCCGTCAAGGAAAAAGCTCAGCAAACATGCCGGTATGACCGTGCATTCGTACTAAACAGGCTTCCCACCCTCGTTGCCCTAAAGACCCTCAGACGCGAAGTTACTGAACTCGACACCAAGTCTCTGTTGACGACTGGTTGAGCTCACGAAGCAGTGCGTCGTCAGATTCTTGCTGCTTCCTTGTCGGGCCAAATGGGCGGCAATTGGCAACGAAATTTCTTCATACAGTCGACAGCTTATGAGGAATAGAATGGCACTTGTAGTGTTCCTATCACTAGTGACAGTGCAGTCGACAGCGAGCTCGATCCTTCGGCAACTTACCAGGCCAAGAAAAGTTCAGGCTTTCTCAGAACGACCAAACATAGAAGCACCAAACACATCTGCAGCTCTCGAATTGCGCCAGTAGGTGGACGACGAGAGTCGTCCATAAAAGTTGTTGCGATTGCTGCCCTTTCTTGCCAGTAACGTTGTTTCTCTTCTTGTTTGGTGCGATTTCTCTTCCTAACGTGCTACACTTCTGTTCGGCCCATTGTCCCTGCCAGCACGATGAGTCTTGACTGCGGTCCTCCTGGCCCATAGCTCTACACCGACCCCAGTACTGCATACTGCAAGTCGCTAAACACGCGAGACTGTGACGGGGTCCACTAGCTACATTTGGGCAGCCGGGCTAAACTCAAGCGCAGGGTCAACAAACCACAAGCTGCGGGCTACATCTTCTTACGGCTCGGCACGGAACACAACAGCTGGACCGCCAAGCATCGAAAGGCCGTCTTCAAAGCTGGCCTGCCGAGGGTGAAAGACGGTTTTCCGCAGTTCTGGTGCTCGCCGTAAACTTAGCGCCAGGTCCAAAACAAGACATACATCAGACGAGTTCAAACAAAGTTCACACGGACTTTGTCAACCCGAATTCCGGAGTCCAAAAGACTTCGTCAAGGCAGTCTAACAACAAGCCACATGCAACCTGCACCTGTCATGCCCCACTGCACCTTCCACAGCAAGGTCACGGTTAAAGCCAGAGTGACGGTCGTGCAGACCCTGGGAATCGAAGTGAATCATTGTTCTGGGTTGCTCGTTTCTTATAGGATGCTGGTTGCAAAACCTGGCCGTGACAATTGCTGCCAGCTTCTCTCGAAAGGAAAACTGCCGGCTCCGTTGGCCTACCGACTTCGCGCTTAGACGTGGGAACTTTCGTTCTGCAGGCGAAGACGCACTGGAGCAACGAGGAAGCACCAAAGCTTCGGATGGTAGCAGCCTTTCTTTCCTGCAGCTTCCATCTAAACAATCTGTACAGGTGCCCTTTCTGCAGTACTTGAGGAAGAAGCGTTTAGGAGCTGCATTGACAACTAGGAACTGATGCACTCGTCACGAGCGAAGCAGGAATGCCATGCCGAGCAAGTCATAGGATCCAGTTTGAAGTTCTTGGCTTGCCGGTGAGGTTTCAACTTATGACATGCTGTATAGATGCGAGACACGGTTCGCAAACAAGCCCGAGCATATGCGAGCATCGGCTCGGGTCGGCAGTGGAACTCATGGAAAGATCTAGCGCGCTGCGCTGGCCCAAGGGCTGCTCGTTACTTGGGGCTCTATCACGGCATGCTGTAGGGCTGCCGAGACGAGCATACAACTTTTTGAGAATTACTGCATTGCTTCGAAGGCGTATGACCCAAACAAGGACCAGCTGTGTCTGTGTGCGTGTGAGTGCAACACATAGAGTTTGAAGGGATTCGTAGGATAGGATCCCGCTTGGGTTCAACTTCAAAAGGCAGACACCCTCTGGATCAGCGGGTCCTGTCAGCATGCGCCCTCCGTACCTGCATTCAGGTGCCGATGTAAGTAAGCCAGTAGGTTTCAAACATGCACTCTCAACTCCTGACCCTGCAGGGCTGTGACAGCAGCCACTCAGATCAACTGCAACATGGACCCCTTGTCTTGATTGTAAAATGCTGAAAATCTGACAGCATCCGTGGTGTGCCCGGCCTGAACACGATTTCCTGGCCGTCGACCATACCGAATTCCTGCCTGCGGACCTCCATCATTGCTACACTTACCTACTACACTACACTTGTTACCGGTCTTGGAACGACTCCCAAAACCTGTCGACTCTGTTCTGCGCATTAGGGCAAGGTACAATGCTAGCTGCTCTTGCGCAGGTTCAAGTAACAGCAGGCTTTGAGCTGCGGGAAAAGTGTTTCCCGAGTATATAGCCAAGCCGAAGATAGTTCTTCCTGGCATGTCTCTTCGCCGCCTTCATGACCATCCCTGCCCCTTCCGGCTTTGACAAAGCAGCGGCGGATCAGCAAGATTCCGGCTGCAAGGTTCTGGCTCCCCCATGTCAGCCCTGCTTGGACGATGATTCCAGAAAGGCGAACGGAGCACCCTAGACTACTTCAACCCTTATACATGCCACCACTATCACGACAATGCCACCGGGATCGCAACTGTATGAGCCCTCTTTGCAGGAAGCGTCCCCGAGGCTCCTGCACCGAAGCTTGATAAATCCTGCTGTCGTGACTGTAGCGAAGTTTGTTTATTAGGTGCCGGTTGTCTGCTTCGTCCTCCTCTTTCCACTGTAAACCCTGAAAGCAACTCGCTAGAATCATTCTACAAACTTTAGACTTCAGCCTTTCTTCAAAAAAGCGACTCATCAACCGTGAGCTTCAATGGCACGCCAATGTATCTCTACAGGCACTGCGGTCGAACCCGAACCCTGTCGACGGATCTCCAGAGTAGGAACACGTCTTGCAAGTAAAGCAGAGCATCCGAACTGCGGATACCAGTCCAAAACGACAAGTCCTGAGGCCGAAGATTGAAAAGCCATGACCCAGGTTCTTGTGAGGACTCTTCATTCGTGTCAATCTCTGTCTTCAACAGAGATATGATGCTTGTCTGAGAAATGGCGAGGCAACGGCTTCCTTTTAGACTCGCGGTTGAAGGACTTTGCCTGCAAGATCACCCTTCTTTGGGGTTCTTCATGCTATGGTTGGCTTATGCCCTTGGTCAAGAGTGACCAAAGCTAAAGCTATTGCCTTGGAAAAGCATCTGCAGATGAGTCTGCAATCGCCGAAGCGAGATGCAAATGTGGCCCACTCTGGCTCCACATATCACGGTACAGGGTAGCCAAAGTGCACAAAGTCCCCCATATAGTAGGTGCGGATGAAGCCCATGGTCTCCTGCACATCCCATGCAACGAACAATGGGTGCGGCATGGGAGCGGTGCTTTCTTGAGGAATTCGTATCGCACTGAGAGAGAAGAGTACCAGGACCCTCCTTGTACCCTCAAATAAGGGTATATGGTCCCAAACAATGGGCAAGGGTAGGTGGAGGGTCTAGGTATGTTCCGACGTTCCGGGGCTTCTTTCTGATCTGCCCTAGGAGCCAGAAAGCTGATGTACACATGCCTCTGCTGGTCGATCTTGTGGCCCGACGCGGACGTTTCACACGTGTTTTCTTTGAAGGGGATGTGCTAAATCGACCTCCTCCTTCTTCACTTTAGACCTATTGCGCCTGACCCTTCCAGAAAAAGATGGGATGGACGGCGCCGTGAGTTGCACCAAACACTACGGGCTCTCGACAACACAACCGGCAAAAAATCCAACATGGATTGCGGAGTCCCACCTCGCTGATGTCTTGACGGACAAAACGGCGGCCTTCTGGCGGTTGCGTCGGAAGTTTGTCCAAGCTGAAATTGTAGAGGGGAAAGAGGTGCCGCAAGTCTGTCGCCAAGTTCTCCTTATTGCAGAGAAGCAGGTCTGATGCAGAGTACTAGCTGAGTAGCACTGGGAAAGCACACGCCAGCCGTCAAGGTAGCATATCAGATACCCAAAGTAAAGCACAGCCCCACATGAAGGCACTGTGTATGCAGCTGGTGCCATGTTTGTTTAGACTCTTGGTCCGTCTGGGCTCGGGGAGCTAGTGCCTTCAGCTGCCGCCCAGCTTCAAAGTGGATCACGTGCTGCAGAACAGCGAAATCTGGGTCCATGTAGTCCGTCAGGCGAGAGAAGCCCTCAGCACGAGGCATGGCATAAGAAACGAGTACTGCATTCCGACTTCTATCTGCCATAGAAGCAACATCTCAAGTGAACCAAGCCCAACTTTTGTCAGGGCGGCATGTTGCAGTGGGTTGAGCCGGTTCATCATAGGGGCTCGTATTGTGTGCCCTGGTTGTTTCCTTCGAAGTACCACTGTTGTGGAAACGACTCTGTCGAACAGCATTCTGCACACATGTGGAAACCCTGCAACTGTAGCAGCATGCACCCGCATTGGAAAACAGGCTTCAAAAGCAGGCACGAACCGCTGAATAGAAACATCTGCAAGTGCATAATGTATAATAAAGAAGCCGAAGTCTAAATCGATGAATACCCACAGGCACACACACAAAACATACATATGTATCATATGTACATACATTCTTACATGCAGATCTGCATACGCAGGTAGATACTTCCATACCCACATACATACATACATACATACATACATACATACATACATACATACATACATATGTACTTACGTACGTTCGTACTAAGGTACGATTTCCGAGAGACAGACAGAAAGACAAACAGACAGACGAAAAGGCCGATAGACAAACGTATTGCCGCACACACTCACACACCTTACCTACATACATACATACATACATACATACATACATACCTACATGAATACGTGCATTTATGCATGCATACATACACGCATACAGCCATACATGCGAGCAAACATCATTTGCTAGGGGCCCCAGTTGACGAACTCCTACATTCCGAAACAGCCAAAATCTCCAAACGAAGGTTTGTCGACAAGCTTTGCAATTCCAATTTCACAAGTTCCACAAACAAAGGTCAACTGTAAACTAAGACAAACAACACCCAATCTACCAGCTTTGGAATTGTGCCACTCCAAAAGCCCACGACTTCTCCCCAAATCTTGGGACATAACTGAACTTTCTTGATGTTTCGAACTTGCGGAGTTTCGTGAAATTTGGACGTTCGGGAATGCTTGGAATCTTGGGAGTTGTCGGATTGTTGGAGCTTGCATGTACGGCTTTGTTGAAGACCAGCAACTTTCACAGATACAGATTTCAACTGTCAGGTCGCTCCATTGAGATGGGTTGCCATACAATAGTCTATCGATCTGTCTGTATGTATCTACTTAACCCGATACCGTAGCCGGTGCAATATAGGACATATAATGTGTGTACGCACGTATTTATGAAACTTCTGTTCCAACAGACTCTCTCTTGTACAGATATATGTGCACTCCTCGTTAATATAGTAGCCTTAATTAAGTTAGTGATGACCACTTCCATTTTCTAATCATGCACCCCCCCTTTTTACCCAATCATAACAACCTATACCTCAACCCTAACGCCCCGAAAGACCCATATGTAGTACCCTAGGAAAGACCCACCTGAAGACCCAAAACCATAACAACCTATACCCCAATGCCCATAAGATGGAACCA